ACACGTGGCTGGAGAAAGAACCTAAGCCTCCACGTCAGCAGAGAACACATGTCACCAAAATGCTCTTCTGTAAAAGCTGTTCTACAAAATCAAGACACGAAAGGAGTCCAAGGGAGACGTTCCAGGACATTAGAGAAGGAGAATGGTGATTGGGGAATGAAAATGTTATTAAATGCAGGTTGGGGCAATTTGGCAGCATTTACCAAAATGTTAAATGCACACATCGTTTGGCACAGCAAGTATACATCTTGGACTCTACCTCATAGAAATAGCCGTGTGTACAAAGATATGTATGTCAAGATGTTTACTGCGTAGCTTGTAACAAAACGAGAAAAAGAAGTAACACTGTCAGTAGTAAAATGGTTAAGTAATATGTGGAACATCCTAACTGCAAGAAAAAGAAACAACTCAAAGTGTCATAACAGGGAAACATTGTGGCTCATATAATCGGAGTTTAGGGGTAAAATGGGCTTAAGATGGGCTTCACGGTTGCCTTAATCTAGTGGCTTCAGAGCCATTTCTCCACAGCTCCCTTGGATCTGCCCTTCTCCCTGGACCAGCCTCATCCCCAGCATGCCAAGAGAATAGCTGTTGCAATTCCAGACTAAAACCTGCAGAAAAAGAGAGAAGTACTTCCAAGATTTTTCCAGAAACAGAATATGGCAGACAGCAACTTGTGTTCAAAAAGTCTGTTTACCCCTTCTTCCTGGGCACATGGCCACCTAGCTAGGGACAACACTTCCCAGCCTTTCTTGCAGCTGGTGTGACTATGTGATCACGTTCTTGCAAGTGGTATGTGAATGGAAAGGATGTGTGTAATTTCGCCTTCATCTACTCAAAAGGAAATTGCTGACTCTGGACGTCCTCACTTTCTCCTTTCTGCAAGCAGTATCATGGTGGCAGCATGGCAACTTCAACAAAGTCCTCAGAGACGACACAGTAACAAAATAGAAGGAACAAGGGCCCCTGAGTAACCCAGACAAGGAAGCTGCCTTACCAGCCAAGACTGATCAAATTGTTTCATGACAGACAAATAAAATTTTGTTTTGTTTGTTCCATTTTATTCAGGGGTTACATCAACTTTTCTTTTACATCAACTAATTTACACATCTTAAAGTCTCCAATGAATCTCTCTTCATGTCTCAAGTCCTCATGTGTGAATTGCTGCATCAAAGCCTCCTTCTAAGGCAATCATTTGCTGGGGGGGATAGGATGGCTCTTTGACCAAAAGACCACCACCTGGAGCCAGGGGTGGGATCAGCTGTCTCCTAGAGGCTCAGAGCTACATGGAGGAGTGAATCGATCTCTGACTCAGTGTCTCTCTCCTCACCATTACACCCATCATAATTCTCAGCAATTTCACAATCAACTACACAGTCCTTCCATGTCGTGTCCTCTCAGCCCCTTCACCTGGCTACCTCTAACCATCTTATCCTCCGCCTATCTCAACCACCTACTACTATGTTCATCCTCTAGATCAGTACGGTCCAATACAACTTTCTGCCATCGTGGAAACTTTTAATCTTCACTCTCCACTGTGGTAGCCACTACCCATGCATGGCTGTTAAGCAGTTGACATGTTGGCTAGTGCCAAAGAAGAAAGGAATTTTTAATTTAATTTAATGTTAATGAATTTAAATCTAAATTTAAATAGCTACATGTGGCTAGTGGCTGTTATATTAGATGGTGCAGGTCATGACCTTGCTATTCTCAACGAATGCAATTCTGCACAGTCTGAATTGCAAACATCACATTCTCCAATATCATCATATTCTTCCAGCTAACTCTTCTAATGCGATACTCTCCTCAAACTGCTGGGACTTCCAATCCAAACACTCTACCATCTTTCACTGTCCCCATTGCCCTTTATTTTCTCATCTCCCTCATTACGCAGCTTAGAGTTCATGATTATAAAACATCACATTTGCATGCACTCTCCACTCCATCGCCCCCCTCATTCATTCATAGGAGGACTCCAACTCTGGCCAAAATCCAAAACTCTCTGCCTATTTCCGACTCCACCTGAGCACTTAACCTTAGGTAGAGGGAAAACACTCAGAACCCTAAGTGATCACTCTTCAACTCATGCCTACCCTACTGCCCCAAAATCCTGCTACATTTGTCTAATTCCTTCACAGGCCCATCTCATTTCCTAGATGATTATTTTGTATCATTTCTTCTCACGGCAAAACTCTACCATTTCCTTCTCGCCTCCCTCTCAGATGAGGAAACAGTAACAAGTAGCAGATAACTTCAACAGATTCTCCCCCCCCCACCCCCATCTCCTACTCCACCTGCAGCTGGGCCCATGAACTCTCTTTCCTGCTACGAAGGACGACTACCTGTGCCCCTAAGGCCACGTCCCGCCAGCACTCGGGATCCCATCGCTTCACACCTGCCCAACAACATCATTCCTGTAATTGTCCAACTTCTCTCCCACGCTGTAGATTTTCCCCTTTCTTCGGGGTCACTCTCCATAGTACATAAATATGCCTTACTCTCTGTGTTTTTTGAAAACTCTCCCCAACCACACATCACTTTCAGCAAAGTGTTTTTTAATACATCAGAGTAACATGATCTGATTTATGATTTAGAAAAATCATTTTGGAGAGTGGATCATAAGGGAGTAAATGGAAGTAAGAAAACTAGTTAGAAGACTATTTCAGAACAGTTCCAGCAGTAGCAAACCTGATAATATTGACCATTCTAAAACTGGAACCCTTGGAAGCTGGAAAACCATTACAGAATAAGGTAAACTAACGAGACCTAACAACTCAGTGCAATTTATAAACTTTGATTGGGTCTTTAATCGGGAGAAACATAACCACAAATAGCAGCGTGTGGTTCAATGTATGCAAATCAATTAATGAGATATACCAACACTAACAAAATGAAGGATAAAAATTGCATGATCATCTCAATAGATGTAGAAAAATCACTTAACAAAATTCAACACAGTTTCATGATTAAAACTCTCAACAAACTAGATGTAGAAGGAATTTGCCTCAACATAATTCAGGTCATATATGGCAAGCCCACAGCTAATTTACTCAATTGTAGAAAACTGAAAGTTTTTCCTCTAAGATGAGGAACAGGACAAGAATGTTCATTCACTCTTGCCACTTACAGTCAACATAGTACTGGAAGTTCTAGCCAGAGCAATTAGGCAACAACAACAAAAATAAAAGTATACAAATCAGAAAAGAAGAAGTAAAATTATCTGTTTGCAAATGACATGATTTTACATATAGAAAACCCTAAAACCTCACCAAAAAAAAACCTGTTAAAACTAATAAACAAAGTTACTGTGATTGAACAGTATGGTACTGGCATAAAGACAAACATACAAACCAATGGATGAAACAGCATAGACAGCTCAGAAATAGACCCCTATATATACAGTCAATTGATCTTAGACAAAGCTGCCAAGCTCACACAAGGGGGAATGGACAATCTTTTCAGCAAACAGTGCCGGAAAAATTAAATATCCACATGCAAAGTAATAAAATTGGATTCTTACCTTAAACCATGCCCCAAACAATCAACTCAAAATGTATTAAAGACTTAAACATAAGTCCTGAAACTATAAAACTCCTAAAAGACAACACAAGGGAAAAGCTTAAGTTTGTTCTTGGCAATAATTTCTTGACTATGACAACAAAGGCACAGGCAACAAAAACAAAAACAGACAAGTGGGGTTTCATCAAACTAAAGGGCTTCTGCACAGCAAAGGAAACAAGAGAATGAAAAGGTAACATACAGAATGGGAAAATGCTTGCAAACCATGCATCTGAAAGGGGGTTAATATCCAAAACATATAAGAGACTCCTACAACTCAATAGTAAAAACCCAACAACCCAATTTAAAAATGGGGCAAAAACCTTGAATGCACATTTTTCTAAAGAAGACACAGAAACGGCCAACAGGCAAATTAAAAAAGGTACTCAGTTTCACTAATTATCAAGGAAGTATGAATCAAGACCACAATGTGATATCACCTCACACCTGTTAGGATGGCTATTATCAAAAACAAAACAAAAGATAACAGGTATTGGAGAGGACATGAAGAAATTAGAACCCTTCTGCCCTGTTGGTAGGGAGGCAAAATGGTATAGCTGCTATGGAAAATAGTATGGAGGTTCCTTAAAAAAGTTAAAACTAGAACCACCATACGATTGAGCAATCCCATTTCTGGGTATTTGTCCAAAAGAATTGAAATTAGGATTCCAAAAAGATAGCTATACTACCAGGTTCACTGCATCATTAAAGACAATAGCCAAGATGGAGAAACAACTTAAATGTCCATGGACAGATGAATGGATAAAGAAAATTTGAAATATATATATATGTGTGTGTGTGTGTGTATATATATATATATGTATATATATATACACACACACAATGAAGGGAGAGTATAGCTCAGTGGTAGAGTGGGTGCCCAGCATGCACAAGGTCCTGGGTTCAATCCCTGGTACCTCCACCAAAAATAATTAATAAATAAACCTAATTACCTAACCCCCCCCAAAAAAATACATATAAATACAATGAAATATTATTCAGACTTAAAAAAGAAAAGAAACCCTACCATATGTGACAACATTGATGAACCTGGAGACATGATGCTGAACGAAATAAGCCACTCACAAAAATACAAGTCTGTATGATTCTATTTATACAATGTATATAAAATACTTAAATTCATAGAAACAGTGAGTAGCATGGTAGTTGCCAGAGTCTGGAGAGAGAGGGAAATGGAGAGGTGTTGTTCAATGGATTTAAAGTTTCAGTTGTGCAAGATGAATAAATTCTAGAGATCTGCTGTTCAACATAGTGCCAATAGTTAACAATACTGTATTGTGCATTTTTAAAGTTTGTTAAGAGGGTGTATCTCATGTCAAGTATTCTTAACAAAAACAAACAAAGGGGCATGAGGGAACTTTTGAAAGTGATGAACATGTTTATTGCCTTGAGGAGTGATAGTTTCACAGGTGTATGCGTGTGTCCAAACTCATCAAATTATATACATTAAATATATTCAGGTTTTTTGTATATCAGTTATACTACAATAAAGCCTTTTTAAAAAAAAAGAGTGGTATGTGGATAAATGTTTAACAAATGGCCAGGGGCATGGGGGGAGGAGATCCGAAATTTGTAGTGTTTGCCAGTTTCCATGATGTAAACATCCTCACCATGAACAATGGCAAGCTACTGTGTCAAGCATCACGTGTGTATAATGCCAAGCTATCACTGAACTTGGAGTTGGAAGTGATGTACACTCTCTTTGCACAAGCCAGCTCAAGTACACTATTAGATAAGAACATTAGGGGGACAATTAGAGAAATCTGAAAGTGGACTGTATGTTGGATGATATTATTGAATTTATATTGACTTTCTTACATGTGATAATGGTAACATGATTGTGTGGGAGAATGCCTTGTGAGCTATGTACTGAAATACCCTGACTCTGATGTTTGAAGACTACTTTCAGGTGTGTGTGCACGTGCGTGTGTCGGGGGGGAGAGATGAAGAAAATGTCAGTGTGTTGAGAGGTTGCTAGTTGATTAAAAGGGTGAGGGATACTTTGGTGCTCAGTGAAATTGTTCTCTCACCTTCTCTGTGGGCTTAATATTTTTCAAAAGAAAAATTTATTTGTTGACAACAGAAGATTCTATGTACAAAATCTGGATTTTCAGTTTTTATTGAAAGGAGCCTAAAACCTTGCAACATTGGGCTTATGCTCTCAAATAGCACCATTTAGCCAAATCTAATAGATGGGGGATGTGCTGCCCAGTCAGATCTTACCTGGCCCTCTTCCCCTTTTGGGTTACCTTCCTGACCCCTGCGGGTATTTGCATTTGTGCCCCTGGTCTAGAAACTGTTCAAAGATGGTCTTTAATGCTGGCTCCCAAGCACTCAGTGGAGAAGGGGGAAAAATAATCTATATTGCCGGTGCTTCTGTAATTATTCCTCTTCTTGCGCCCTAGATTAACAGCTAAAACTAATTCAACGCTTCCTCAAACGTGTTTTACGAGCTCCCTCTGCTGACTCTTTCTGAAGGGATGAAACTGCTTCAATTCCTTGTAAGTTCTGAATTTTGAAATCGCCCTTCTGGGTTTAGACTTGGAAGAACTTGGTGACATGACAGTCACCCAACTGACTTTCTTCCATGGACGGCTCCTATGATGATGGTTCAAGGGACTCACGGAAGAATCAGAATTTAGTTCAGTAGAACGCCTGTTTCACTGGAGGCTGTGCTTTGGGTGACTTGGCGCCCTCTAAAGGCTACAGTGCGAAGAGCAGCCCTTACCACGTGCTCCGCTCTAAGTTCCGGGCTTTGTCGGAACTGTGACCTTCAGGAGGGTGGAGGAAACGGGCAGAAGTCACTTACCGCCTGAAATCCGGAATCCGTATTGCAGCTCGTCATTTAGCCCTCCCTTGAGATCACGGAAGTGTCGAGCTGGTGTCCTACACGACTTCTTTTTTTTTTTCAGCGAGTATACTTTCTGCGTCACCAGTGTGACAGGAAAAACGAATGGTTTTTGTTTTCAACCGAGAGCACTTTGAGTAAAGTCAGCATTCCTTTATTTTTTTTTCGAATAAAGAGTTTGAGTTTCTTTCTTTCTTTTTTTTTTTTTTAAGACAAACACTATCTTTCGCTATTGGCTTTAAGAAATAATTCGTCAGACTATCTGCTCTGTGCCAACAAGGTAAGTGTCCTGGATTTTTTTTTTTAAATGGGGAAATGTTTCCCGAAGTGTTTTCACGGAGGATGAATATTGCCTTCCTTAAAAATGAATGTGATCCTCTGCTTCAGGACTCTCTTGATCAGGGTGAAAGCAACAGAATTACAGAGAAAATGAGGAAGCAAAGGAACATTGTAAGGAAACAAAGTTATGTCATAGGGGGAAAACCATCCAGAAGGAAGGTGTGGGTGAGAGGAACAGGATCGTGGGATTTTCAGTGATTCTAGGCTCACTTCTGGTTTCACCTTACGGGTGAGATGGAATTGCCAGGCACTGGGAAACACAGAATACTCCACAAGTGTTATGATGGGAAATACTGAAGCCAAGGAAGCGCACTGGTGGGCTGATAGTAAGGAATATAAACAGATCAGACTTGAAACTCATATGAATCATAATCAGTTTCATGATTTGCCAATCACCCAAGTCTCTCCATGTCTCAAAAATGTAAGAATTTACATTTTCTGGTCTGTCACGTAGGGGATGGGGTTTTCATGTTGTTCAAAAGTCCGATTCAGCAGTTTCAGAGCTCATTTCTACTAGGGAACTAGGTATCAGCGACCTTTGACCTGCAATGGACCTTGTGCTTACAGAACACTTTATAGTTTACAAAGGGCTTAGCTTACGTCCTCCAGACCCTTCAGGCCTGCAGTATTCCCCCCTACCTTTCAATTCACATCCATTTTTGGTACCAATTATTTGGCATTCAAACAGTCTCTACATCAGTCTGCAAAGGACAAGGTGTTTTTTGCCCAGGAAAAAGCACAGCCCACTTTGTGTCTCTAACTAGGTCTCCAGGCATAGCTGAGCTGCCCAAGAGAGTCTGCAAGCATCTGTAACCAGAACAGCTGCTGTTACAGGGCCTGCCACATGGTGTCGTGTGTATTGGCCTCTCTCCATACAGTGGCATCTTCTTGTGACCCAGTCACTGGGTCTATTTTCATTACTATTATTAAGTCACTGGTCCTTTTTTTTTTTTTTTTTGAGTTATAGTCAGTTTACAATGTTGTGTCAATTTCTGGTATACAGCACAATTCTTCAGTCATACATGAATATACATATATTTACTTTCATTTTCTTTTTCACCATGAGCTACCATAAGATATTATATATATTTCCCTGTGCTGTACAGTATGAACCTCTTTATCTGTTTTATTAGACACTGTTTCTTAGTCATCTTTGGGGCCCCCACATTTGGCTCAGAACCTGCCCTGAGAGGTACCCAGGGTACAACTCTTGAATGAATTAATTTGCTGCCAGTCTATTCACCACAGCACATTTGTGTTTTCCCAGTTCAGTCAGCAACCATTTCTTTCACATTTGTGCAGAGCATATCTGAGATCTGCCAGTTCCAGACCTCTCCCTTGTGCCCAGAAATTTCAGTGTTCCTGTTGGTGGGGGCCACTTATTTCTGATGAAAGGCTACCTAGACCTTTTACTCCTCAGTGCAAAGGAAGCCATGAGTATATTTGCCTACTTGTTCTTGCTGATAAATTTTATCTATGTGAGCTGCCTTTTCCAGGGAGAAGAGAGGAAAGGAGGGAGTGAAGGAGATGGGAAATGAATGTTGAGTAAATATTTGGTGCTGGGCACTTTTGTATAAGTAATGTCGCTTAAAACTCAAACAATCTATAACACAGGAAACTATATTCAATATCTTATAGTAACCTATAATCAAAAAGAATATGAAAATACAGACTTATGTATATGTATAACTGAAACATGCTATACACCAGAAATGGACACATTGTAACTGACTGTACTTCAATAAAAGTATGCTCTTGCTGCAAAAAAAAAAATTTAATCCTTCAACATAGCTATTTTTTGTATTTTACAAACAATAAACCTTAAGGTGTGAAAGTGGGTTGTATGGGGTCAGTTCCAGAGATAGAGCTCAAACCCAGTTCTGCTGTCTCCAAAGTCCATTCTTACTGTGGCCTGCCCAGGTCTCCCAAATCAGTAGAGACCCCTAAATAAACCAACAGCCTCAGGGGAGGAAGTGCCCATTTCCCTATAAATAATGAAGCCAGGCATGAAGGCCTCAGCCTTATAAAGGGCAGGATGGAAGGTAACATTTGGAAACAGGCAGCCTTGAGAAATCTCTCTGATTCTTGTTGCAAGTTCCTGGATCCTGTTCTGGAACCAGGTGAGTCGGAGGGGTCTGAGGGCTCAGAAGTCTTCCTCTGCCCTCTGTAAAATCAGTAACTCCACTTTGTTTCTATGCCTGGGGGTTCTGATCTGACCAGCAGGCAAGCTGCAAAGCCATGGGGACAGACTCCCCAAGGCCCAACCAGAAGGCGAGGCAGCAAACCTGAGTGCAGGTGAGGGAAGAGGCTCAGTAACGGGAGCCCCAGGACGCTTGGGGCTCTCAGACCAATGAGATGTGCACATCTAGGCTCAGCCTCAGAGATCCAGAGTCCCTCCAGATTCAGCCTCTTATCAGCAGGGCAGCCTTACGTCGTGTCCAATGATGATGCTGTGGGTTTTCCCATTTACTGGTGCTCAGGGCTCAATGAATGTAGTCGCTCTTGGGTCCTCAAGGCAAACACCACTAAGTGGCATGACACTACCAAAATCCCCTAAGCGTTGTACAGCAAGATCTCTCCTCAAAAAGCACCATGTCTTCAAAGGCAAAGTCTTGGACTGACCAAGGGGGCTGAGGGAAGGTTAGCACTTGCAACCAAGTCTGCCTGACATGTCAAGGGCCTCCAGGTGACAAAACCTGATTTGCTGCAATCAACTCAGTGGTTAGCCAACCTAATCAAAGAAAAAGCTATGTTGATGACTGCAGAAGCCCGAAACATAAAATAAAGAAAAACTGGTTATAACAGGGAAATATATACAAGATCTTGTAGTAGCTCATGGTGAAAAAGAATATGAAAATGAATATATGTATATTCATGTATGACTGAAAAATTGTGCTGTGCACCAGATATTGACACAACATTGTAAATTGACAATAACTCATAAAAAATTTTTTTTAATTTTTAAAAGACAAACTGGTCACAGATCTCTGTGACACATGCATACTTCCTCCAGTCTTTCCTGACAAGCAAGGCATCCTTCCCCTATGACCTCATCTTGGTCTCTAGAATGTCTCATATGACTTTCAGGACTTAGTTCTGTGTTTTTGTCAGTCAATCTTGCCTCTGTGCAGTGCTAAGTACCTCCCCTCAATTCATGTAATATCTTTATTGCATGGCACAACATGGCCCATGACCAGATATTCTTCAGGATTTTAGATGCTTTGAATAGAAACTATCATTTTCGCTGGAAGCAATTCCTAGGGTTCAGAGGGGCTAGGTGATAGCAAAGAGCACCTTTAACACTGAGGGGACCGAAAGCCTAAAATCCCAAGGGGATCAAGGTCCCAGCTGCACTAGCTAATAACAAGAGCGAAATTTAATTGAGCACTTTCTATGTAACAGACACTCTTGCACTGCGCAGGCACACAAGTCTACAACCCTCCCAACATTTCAGTCTTTTAATTTTGTAACAAATACTTAAAGTAGGTGTTACACTCTTTCCCAAGCTCTATTTACCTATTTGGAGGAACAATATTTAATTGTTGTAAATATAAAATGCTAGCTTTGAATATTATTAAAGCATGTTTATTTTACAAAAAAATTATAATAATAAATAGGTATTATTATTATTACTATTATTATTTCCATTCCCATTGCACTGATGAGGAAACTGAGGCACAGAGAAGATAAACAGTTCAAAGTCATACTGTTAAAAAATGAAGCCAAGATTTAAACCAAAACAACTTGATATCAGAGCCCTCATTTTTAACCAAAATGGGATTCTGCCTCAGCTCAAAGATGTAAAAGTTGCATTCTGTGACAAGGGCTCCCTTCTAGCCTTGTCACATAAAGAAGCTCTGCTCTGCCTTTCTCTAACAGAGCTCATCATGGCCAAGCGAGTTGCAGTGATTGGAGCTGGTGTGAGTGGCCTGTCCTCCATCAAATGCTGCTTGGATGAGGACCTGGAGCCTACCTGCTTTGAAAGAACTGATGACATCGGGGGACTGTGGAAGTTTACTGTGCGTAGTTCATACCCTCCCACCTCCATCCGTCATAACCTGGCCTTTGCTTTGTCCCTGCTCGGGCATGGTGGCTTTAGCCCACCTTGGTGATCAAGTAAGGGAACAGCTCACTGCAGCAGCACAAGCTTGTGCACGATGTCGTGCCAACCCTGTACAGGATGCAGTCTGATAGGTGAAGGACCTGGAGAACTGGCAAGGCACGGGCAGGGACAGCTGAAGGAGAGAAGAACAAAGAGTCAAGTCTGATGCACAAACATTACTGGAAGTTACAATGATTTCTGGACCACAGACATTCTAAGGGAAAGTAGTAAAATGTCATGTTGGGTAAGCTGAACAGCATTGATGAATATGGAGCAGATAACACTTTAGGAAGGATAGAAGTTGGCATCAGGG